CCCCACCACACACACACCACACACACACTTGCATGGTTTTCGTTGGCTTCTGACTAATCTAGCAACAAATCCATCGCATTTTTGCAATAACTGTTCTGTTTCTACCTCATCAGCTGAAAAAATAGGAAAAAAGAAAAAAAAAAGAAAAAAGAGAAAAAATAGCACGCTCATAGATTCATGGTTTGTTTGGAAAATTGGGGATTTATTTTGGTTTTGTGTCACTACAAAATTTAATATCCATTATAATTTCACTGTAAAAATACGCTTCGACAATCAAATCATTAAATCTCATATTTATGACGTTTCCCCTTGAAATGAGGAAAGCAGTGGTGTATCTGGGCAATTTGCTTTTCACGGTAAAAAGCTCGTGGATTTGGCTTCTGAGTTTCTCTCTACTGCACAATTCAGTAGCTTCTGTGCGCTGTTCTGTTCCAGGATGCATCGACCCAGGGGAAAGTTTTATTTTTTTGAAAGGTCTAACTTATATGTAACTTAAAAATTCACTATGGTTATCAAAAGTTATTAGTAAATAACTTATTATTTTGCAAATATTTAACTCTGCACTTTCTAAGGCAAGAATAATTTTTGCTTTGCATATTTAATAGAGAAATTTGCCTCTGTTTCCTTTTTTAATGATGATTTAATTTCGTTGTGTGTGTGCTGAATGAAATTTTGTGTCTCTGTATGCTACAGAATTTCAAATAAACCATGCACGTTTTACCTCACCCATTCCTTCCTTGTGGACTTAATAGAGGGTAAATGGACGGAACCATCTTCAAACAGAAATATCCCCTTTTAAGCAGTCTCTTAAATTGGGTATTTCGCTCAAATCTTTCAAACTGTTTGCTGCAAGATGGCTTTTTTGGAAAACAAGTGTGTGTGTGTGTGTGTGTGTGGGGAGGGTCTTAGTACAATTGATTTTTACATTTCCCAAGTCAACAGCTTGTTCTCAAATAACCCAGATTGCCTTCTCTTTGATTCACAGTCGCATTGGAGCCACGGTATTTCTTTAATCGCTTGCGCTGTGATAGTGACAGAAGAAACCCCTACGCAAAGCGTTTAAAACTGAACAAACGAATCTACGTGCATGTAGCTACACAAGGTTTAATTGGTCCTCAAAAATGCATGCATCACCTCCACCCTCTTCCTACGATACACACTGTCTTCCTCTGATCCTGCTTTTCGAAGGAAAAAAAAAGGCAGTTTCACCATATCAAAAAGCCTACAGGATGCACAACTTAGCTTGCCCTCTGGCTAACACGTTACCAGCCAGACCAAGCATCCAGTCCATTGCAAAACGTGACACGGAAATCAAAGAAATATTTCATTACGGGCATTTAGTTGTCAATAAAACGTTCTAACCTGAAGTGCTTTACATTAAGAGCGTTGCAATTACAGCCCATCGCCAGCACACTGCAATCCCCCGCCACACACACACACACACACACACACACACACACACACACACACACACACACTTTTGAGGTTCTGTGGCTTTCTTCTCGATTCTTTCATAAAAGTCACCTTTGAAGGGAAAAGCTCTTGTTCTCTCTGACACTTGACTTGTAGGAGAGGTAGGGGCGCAGGAATCCTAAATCCTGGAGAATGACTGGGGCACAGTAGAGGCACCTCTGTTGTTTGTATCCTGCTCAAACTTTCTGTCGTGGCGGGGGGGGGGGGGGG